CAAACCAGCTATACCAATTTAAGGCTAAACCAATTGCGTTTTAAAAAAAAAACAGTACGGTAAACCAAATCTAATCGATGCTACTGGATCGAATTGGACCGGTACGACGGTTATTGAACCGGTACGATGGTTATTGAACCGGTACGACGGTTATTGAACCAGTATGACGATTAAATAGGTTTCTTCCGAATGCGAAAATTTATCTCTGTAGTGTCGCCGGTTTTTACTGGACATCCGTTTACCGTTTAAGGTAAGTCAAAATTAATGCCGACTTCTCTTTTGGAACGAAGTCTGTGTTTTGCATAAACCCTAATCCCCTTCGCTTTCTATTCCAGATCTGTTGTTGCCGCCGTTCGTAACTGTTCATTTCCGCAGCTGGTTGTGGAAAGGTATTTGGCTGCACTAATTTTGTATAATTTGTTCATAAATATCTTTAAGGGTTCCAAGTTCCAAGTCGTTTGGATTTCTACACCGGTTTTTCTAAAAATCGAATAACAACGAGTAGATATATGTTCCAAAGTCGGACAAAAATCGAACACCCGTTTTCCAAGTTTCTAGTTCCTAGCTATGTTATAGATATTTGTTCTTGTTTTTATTTATTAAATCGGATTTGTATAGTGTTAGGTGAACTATTTTGGAAGTATTATCTGGTAAAACGGAGTTAAAACGGTTTGTGTTTTTTTTAGAGAACTTTGTCGGCAGCTAGTTTTTTGGCAACTCTCTTAATTATGCTATTAGGACTACAGACTTCAATTGCAGACTTAGTTGGTTGACTTCGTGTGTAGACTTCTTTGTGAAACTTCGTAAGTAGACTTAAGGATGCTATTTTGAATATTTCTCTCAATCCGTTTTGCAGACGTCAGTTAAGGTAATGGAAAACCCAGAATTCCCCCCGCGTCTCTTCACAAAAGGCGATGAGCCGTATCCTCTGAAAAGCATAGGATACTATAGCAGTGAGACAAAGCTGATGACTGCACTCGAGGAAGCACTAACACAAGATGAATGGGTAGAGATAATAAACTCTAGACTGGGAGTGTTCTTGAAGTTCAGTCAGCTGGATTTCGGCTGGGCATCTAGAATGGTGCATTACATTCTCGGCATGCAGCTAGTTTGCAAGAAAAAATTTGAGATTTGGAGCCCCATAGGTTTAATCCTGATCCGCTTTTCTTTGAATGAGTTCGAATATATTACTGGCCTGAATTGCGAGTACGTGGACAATCTCGAGGATCCGGTGGTTGAGGTCATTGAGGAGATGCAAGATTTCTGGGAGCGATTGGGAGTCAATGAGGATTTGGGCCCGAGCACAGAAGATTGAATAGAAGCTTGTAAGGAATGCAGGTCGTGGTGTTCCGAGGATTGGTTGAGGCTGGGATACCTTAGCGTTTATGCTAGTTACATTGAAGCACGAAAACCATCTTCAGCTACTCGGGTTAGGTTGGCAAGGCTTGTGATGGATTTAGATACGTTTGAAAACTACACTTGGGGAAGAGTGGCCTTTAAACACCTGATGCGGTCAGTGAAGGAGAAAGAAAATTGGAAGTCGTCATACACCATTGAAGGTTTTGTTCAAGTACTACACGTCTGGGTTTAATTTGCTCTTCCCGAATTTGCTGCTAATTTTGGTGAACCACTTCCAAACTACCCCGAGGTACCGCTGATAGCTTACAAGGGATCGAGGGGGAAGAAATTTATGAAAGAGAATATGGTCCGACAGGTAAGTAGTCTGGATTCATACTTGTTTGACTATATTGGTAGACTTCTTTAGTAGATTTCTAGTGCAGACTTCGTTGGTAGACTTCTTCAGTAGACGTCATATAACACATCTTTTATTTTCATGTAGACACGTATAAACAACTATGTTGTTAAGGACTTCTTCAACATGTTTCTGCGCTGGGAAGTAGATGACAATGATGAAGAAGATGCGAAGACTGACAACATCATCAAAGCAATGTTTGGTCATTTTGGCCCTAAACAATAGATATGGGATAGGAGTCATTGGCCTCCAACAGGTGTGACGAAGTATGTCAAGTCCGAAGTGTCTGTCGATCTGAAGAGGCGATCGGAATCAGTTGGTGATCCAGAAAAGTCAGAAGCAGTTCTGCCCAGTCACCTGGTGATGAAGAGGAGTCAATGGTTACGATTATGAAGATGATGGATGGGTTGAGTGGTTGTGAATCTCAGATCAAACTACTCAACACAAAGCTGGGAATGGTGGAGCAGAAATTAGAGGCAGTGATCCTCCAAGCTGAGACCGGAGGTACAAAGGAGGATGTGGCTGGCAATGGTGAAGCAGACGCCGATGGCGCAAAAACCAGTGGCGACACTCCAACAGATGCCGATCCTAATATCGGGGTTAGTTCAAAACCCGCTCCAAAGAAAAGAGGAAGAAAACCCCGGAAAAAAAAAAAATAATTCCCTATTTGTTTTTAAACTTCTCATCGAACTTTACCAATCTGTTTTAAAACCTTAGTAATCTGTTTTCCATGGAGTTGTTACCACTAAATGTTTAATGCTTTGAATTGTACTCTTTGATGTTGTTTGATGTTTGGTTTCGTCTCATTGATGTCTGTTTAAATCTTCATATTTGCAGAGTAATTTTATGTCTAAGCAAAATGAACAAACTGATGTCCCGAGTGAGAGCGTGAACGATTGTAAGCAAGGAACTCTAGAGCCAAGCGTTGTTATGGTTGACCCAGCAAAATGTGACATAGACTTCGATCAGGTCCAGAAAGAGAAGTGCGAGAAAGGCAGGAAGGCGGCACAACTGGTTGCCCGTGCGAAGAGTCAACGACTGTGAAAGTTGGCTCCTACACAACAAAGCCCTTTCAAACCCAACAGCACAGCGAAAGAAATCATCCCAAACAAAAATGACCGAGGGTTAGATATGATCCGTTTGATATGACAGGCGTGAAGCAAAAGATCGGTGTGCTTACTGATTGTCCGAAAAAGATCTGTAAGTCTTTGTTTTGGAGTTATTATAGCAGACTTCTTTCTATTGTATATGTAGTTATGATATTAGACAAGTTAATGTTGGTGTTTTCAGGAACTATCCTAAGCGGATAAAATGGTCATCAGTGGACTGGTACTACATTTTAAGAGTCCCTAAAAAATGGCTAGCAGAACACTGTAAGTTACACGAGTATATATATGATATGACCACAACATATTTCTCTCTTCTTCAATAATTGTTTTCATTGAATATGCAGCACATGGAAGCTGGGATTAACCTACTCAGGCTGCGATTTACAAAGCATCCTGGGTGGTTTAGGTCGGACAGGATAACCTTCCTTGACTCTTACTTTGCTACAATGTGGAGGTACAAGTACTAGGAGTTCGTTAACTCTCATGCCAACCCTGATGGTTCAGGCAACCTCCTTCCCGCTGGCGCGTTTGAGTACTACACCGGCGCAGCACCAACTTACTGCGTTAGTAACAAGACGTGGGGGTATGATGTGCATGACCTGTACTCGATGTTACACATCACTGAGGATCATTGGGTGGTAAATGTGGATTTCTATTCCAATGAAGCATATTGTCATTTGGGACAGCTATGCGAATACTCATGCATCGGATATCCATATTAAGGCTGCTGTGACTCCGATTACCGTCTTGGTTCCCTACATCCTGCGTGAATGTGCCCCTGCTGAAGACTGGATCAATCTGACTTATGATCCATTCACGTGGGAGCGAATCAAGGGCCATTTGATCCCACAAAACAGACAAAGCGGTGACTGTGGCGTTTACTGCCTGAAGTACCTCGAATGCCATGCTCTAGGGATGCCATTTCCTAAGACCTTGTGTGATGCAAACATTAAAAATATCTGAGACAAGATGGCAGCTGAGATATTTGACGAGACAGGAGTAACCGGCAAAGAGAAGTATGATTATCCATGGTTGGACGTATACGAAGGTAAGTGATATGTCCAACTATGTATATTATGTACTGTAAGAGAAAGGACTCTCGTTGGGTGTGGTATGATTGGAAGTTTTTGGTTAACCTGCCAGAATTGTTCTTCTCTTATTTAACTGTACTTTGCTAACTAATTCCGGTTTGTTTAGTAATATTGTAAACAATGGTGTGGTTGTACTCTTTTGTTAGCCTAAACACTTGTAATAGACAAGTGTGGCTTTTGTGATATTCACGTACTCTATTGTTAGCTTAATCCTATCTTCATATCTCGCATAGTTTATAACAAGACTTAAGAATGATCGTACACAAACATGAAACATACATATTCAATATGATTTACCTTAATTAGTCGACAGACTTGTTGAGCATAGTACGTTAGTAGACTTCCATGTGTAGTCTGCAGTGAAAGTCTGCTATTATAGATAGCGTTCTGTTATCTTATCTTCCACGTCTGCAAAAAACAGAGGAAATTAACTTCAACCAATGTAAACCTTAAAAATATCAGGTAACATGACACTTACACAATCCGGTCTGGTATGTCCTGGTTGGTGATATTTCGAACAACTGTACTGCTTGTGGATCTTACGGGGTTTCTTTTGTTTATGCCTCGAGATTTCCAGCCAAGTTTTCCATCTTGACTTTTTATGCCTGCCTTTTTTACGTCGGACTTCCAGAGGTAGACATTGTTCTGTTTCATCGATTTTCATTGCAATGCTTGGAGGATATATATTATGCGAGTACGCCGCATACAAGTAATCTTTGGAGTATGTCGGGCATACAAGAGTGGCCAGATGCATATGCATTGCATCTGAAACGGTTATAACATGAGAGCAAGGTATTTTCTCAATATCATACACGCCACACCCACACTTTCGAACTTCCAAATCAACAACACAGTTATGTGATCCTCCTTTCACATTGAATCGCCAACCATCTATGTCTTCAACCGTCAAAATATCAGCATAATGTGAACGAATTACCAACAAATATTCAACTCCCCGAGTATGGATAGTTTGAAGACTCAAAGCATCTTCCCGCCTTTTACAAAACCACTTTGTTAGCTTCTCCCGTATGTACTCCAACAAGAATACTATGGGAAATCCCGTGCCCGTTTGAGAGCAGAGTTGATAGACTCTGCGATGTTGCTCGGCTTTATATTGTATCTATCACCCGGAAAGTGAACTCTTGACCACAACTGAATGCCTGCCTCCTCCAGGTACGTTGCAAGCTCAGGTTTTATATGCCTTATCTCGTCTATATACCGGTTAAAATCATGAACAGTATATGCATACGCAACACGTTTGACCAAGTACATAAGATGCTTCCCCTTAAACTTAGTGACTATATTGTGTTGCAGATTATAATAGCATATCCCGCGTGTTACCCACGGTAAAACAGTCTCACATGCCTTCTTAATGGAATGATGCATGTCTGAAACTATCACCAACGGATACTCGTTTGTAAAACACTCCCAAAATTTTGTAAAAAACCATTCCCATGTGTAATCATTCTCAGAGTCCATTATTCCAAAAGCTAGTGGAAATATATGGAAGTTACCATCTTGTGCTGTCGCCACTAGCAGAGTCCCTTCATACTTTCCAGTCACATGACACCCATCGACAACAATGACCCGTCTGAGGTATTGAAAACCAGCTATGGAGGCTCTGAATGCTAGGAATAGGTATTTGTTATTCTAACTGTCACGTTCAAGGGCAGTTATAGTACCCAAATTTGCTTCAGCGATCAGATGCAAATAAGAAGGCAATCGGCTATATCCATCCTCAGGGGTTTCCCTCACACATTCTTGTGCATACATCAAAGATTTATACAAAGTTGTGTAGTCTATTTTCAGTCCAAACATCACCTGCATTGAATCTTTGATGTGTTGCGCAGTAATCCCATCAATTATTCCCACACGCTCTATAAATAACTTCCCAATGTATCTTGGAGTCATATGCTTTCGGTGAGCCAACCGATCTGAAACAGAACAGGTATGAGTTTTGACATATTTTGTGTCCCAAAACGTCTTTGCTTCGTTCTTTACAGCTGTTCTAACTCTCCATTGGCATCCTTTAACAACACATTTAGCAACAAACAGACGTTTCGATGACGTATCAGCTCTGAATGCAAACTTCAACATAACAATCGTCAACCTTATCTCTGAAATGAGCTCGTCTTTTGTAGCAAAACTTCCGTTTACTTTTATTTTGTCAACCCAATTTCTTTCATATCCTCTTTGAGGAGCCTTAACCAGTTCTTCGATCCACTTACCCTCTGAATCAGAATTTGAATCCTCATCCTTCACATTCCCATATTGGCTGTAGTCCTGATCCTCAGGGTCAGTACCGTCTTCCTCCTTTACTGGATCGTTTTTGATGTCCTCGTTTATCTCATCATCATCACACTCATCAACATTTTCATCTTCACCTTCCTCTGTAGTTTGATTCCCACAATCAACAGAAAACCCATCAGCAGCGTCAAGACCACCAGTACGTCCATCATGGTCCTTGCGACTAGATACACAAAGACGTATAACATGCGTCTTACTCAACCCAATCAAGCTCTGTACTTATCTATCATCTGTAATATGCATAGGAGGGGTATCTGGAGCCATTTTTGCTAACATTGAATCTGGCAATGCATAAGTGATAGACACTCTATCAGTTTTTCCATCCAGCATGTAATAATCTAGAGCCATAGCTAGGAGTTATCTATGTATACAACCATCATTCAAGAAGAACAACCTCTATCCTTCGCGATTATCCACCACAAAATGCCACGACTGAGCACCGATAACCCATTCTCCAAATACAACAGGCAACTGAGTTGGTATCTGCAAAAAAGGTAAACCACATTAGAAACTGTGTTTTCCAAATAACATAGAGCAGACTTCTTTGTAATTATAGAAGTCTGCTATAATCGGCTAAAAGCCTAAACATTCAAGAAAATTCATCACTTTGTAATTATAACACATATCAACGTGAAACTCACGTATATGTAACAAAAAGGCAAATCAACATGTCCATACAAGAAATTTATTTTAACATATACCATTTATTCGAAAACGAATCTTTTATTAAAATAATTAGGCAGACTTCTATTGCAGTCTGCTGTGTTATTCTCCTTCGTCTCAGCAGACTTCATCAGCAGACAATATTTGCTAATTACCTTTCAAATCTAGAAAAATCATAATTATTTATGTATAACACATAAGCATACCAAACTCATATAGGTGAAGGAACTATACCTAAAATACAAGAATAATAAAAAAAAATTCATCACACAAAAGTTTTTTAAAAATGCTTTTTTAAAATGAAAAAATTGCAAACTTCGAGCAAAACTCCACCAGGTATATTTCACGTAGAAGTCTGCCAAAAAGACAGGGTTACTTTTGCAATTGACCAAATGTTTGACTTTCGTAGCAGACTTCTATATGAAGTCTACAAAAGAAAAAGGTTATTTCTGCAATTGACCAAACATTTGGCTTTTATAGCAGACTTCAAAAGAAGTCTTCTGTTGTAGTGAAGTCTGCTGAAGAAGTCTACACTATTATCGAAGTCTGCTCCAGGTTATTTCTGCAATTGACCAAATGTTTGACTTTCGTAGCAGACTTCTTTATAAGTCTGCTGAAATTACATTTGACCAATTCTGAATTAAATTAATAGCAGACTTCTTTAGCAGTCTGCTATTAATTTAATTCGTAGCAGACTTCTTTAGTAGTCTGCTGGAACAGTCAAAGGTGGTCAACATCTTGGTCAAATGCAAAAATAACCTTTCAGGTCAAACTTCGATTTCTCAGACTTCTCAACGAAGTCTACAAAAAAAGTCAAAGTATAACATTTTTCGGTCAAATGCAAAACCATCCTCGCTTTTCCGCAAACTGAAATAGAAGTCTACACGTTGTTTTTTTTGTACTCAAATGAAAATTCACAGACTTACAAAGATGTCTACTTTCAAAAAAATATCAAAAGGTCAATTGCAAATCTAATCTTTTGCGTTGACTAGCAGACTGTAAAAGAAGTCTACTTTCGCGAAACATAGCCCAATGTTAAAGAAAAGAATTAGATGTTTACCTCCTTCCAATTTGAACCCGATTAACTTTGACAGAAGTTCAAAATTTTTGAAATGCACCGAAAGCAAACCAGCCCAGAACTCGGTTATCCAAGCATCTCACAAAATAGATGATTTGCCAATTCAAACATATCAATGTCGACCATGAAAGAGATTTTTAGATGAAACTAAAGAAAAATTTGAAGATAAAATGAAGTTCTAAGGCCATTTCCAATGGTCCTTCAAATTTCACTTTTTCCTTCATTTTGAAGATAAAAATGAAGAAATCTTCTCCAATGGTGCTTCAATTTCACCCTTCAAAATGAAGCAATGAACAGTGTTCCTTCATATTTGAAGGAACACTGTTCATTTCTTCATTTTTTGAAGGTGAACTTTTTTATTTACAAAATATATCTTTAACTTTTTATATGTTTTGATTTATACCCAAACACAACTTATATATATTTTTTAACCCAATTAATTTTAAAACAATAAATTTAACTAATCAAATTATAAAGTAAAACTGCAATAAACATAATTAAAATACAATAACACTTATTAATTAAGAAATACAATAACATAACCAACAACAAAATTAAAAATACATAGCTAATACTAAATTATAAATAATAAAGCTTAACATAACATAAACCAACAACTTAATAATCTGGAAAATCACTTCCAGATCCATTAAAATTATTAGAATATTGTCCAAATGAAGTTGATGCTGAAGGAGGAGCTTGTTGATTTTGTTGTTGTTCAACTCTTTTTTTGTAAAATTCGTGCTTGTTCAGCTTGAACATATGAACGGATATTCAAATCTTCTATGGAGTTTAAGTCTTGCAACAGAATTTTGTTTTCTTCTTTAAGTTCTTTCAAAGCATAATTCTTACTTTGGCTGATGGTATATATCCAAAATGGTCGACCATTGTGCAAACTATTCATGAGCCAGTGGGTTCCAAAAAAAAAATATTTTGCTACACAACAAGAAGCTTGCAGGAAAGATGTAGAACGGGCATTTGGAGTTCTTCAATCACGTTTCGCAATTGTGAAAAGGCCAGCTCGTTTTTGGGATAAGAATGTGATACATGACATAATGACTACTTGTATAATTCTACATAATATGATAATTGAAGATGAGCGTGATCTCAACGCACCAATTGAAGTAAGAAGAGAAGTTTCACCTCCGGAGGTTGAAATAGAAGCGAATGAAAGTATCCGATTCCAAGAATTTCTGGCTCGGTACAGAAAAATCAAGGATAAAGAAGCTCATTTCTCTCTTCGAAATGCATTAATTGATCATTTATGGAAAAAATATTTGTTCTCTAGTACATCATAAGATTATGGTATGGTTTTTTCTTATTTACATTTATGTATTTTTTTCTCTTATGTATGGTTTGTTTTTATGTATGGTTTGTTCTTATTTACATTATGTAATGTAATTTTTTTTATATAATAAAATTTTAAATTATATAAAATCATAATTTGGTTGAACAATTGTTCTAAATAAAATAAATAGGTGAAAGTTTGTAAAACTGAAAAGTAGAGGATCTTGTTGGAAATTAATAATAAAATAGAGATGGAATATGCTTGGAATATTCTTTTTAAAGGAAAAAATGAAGAAACCATTGGAGATGCTCTGAGCGGCCAAATAAGCATTTAGAGCTTCAAATGCGGATGAGCAAGCATTAAGAGCTTCAATTATGGTTGGTAATGGTAGTTGGCGAAATTGAAGATGATGACATTTTCGTGAATACTTGATATATCTTAGAATGGTTGTGTTTTTTTAAAATTTCTTTAAAAAATCGATAATTATAAACATAATGGCATTTACGTTATTATATGTGGCTTTAGGGAGATAGTAGGGAGAAAATGGCTAATATTGAAACGGGAAAAAGGTTAGATTTGCATCTGACTTTAATTTGTGGGTCATATGTGAAAGAATCCCTATTATTTATTATACAAAGTTTGATATTTCAAAATTACAAATTAACAATTGGTGGTAACATATGTAAGTTATATTTATCATGTGTAAAAAAAAATTGAAAAATTAGCTAATATGATTTTTTTTTAAGTATTGTGGAGCTTAACTTTTCAGTTTTTGTCAATTTTATTATTAAAATAACTTTAGTTTAATCTATTTTTTAAAAGTAATTAATTACATCATAAAAACAGAGAACATTATCTTCCTCACATAGATCTCCAAAACAAGAAGGAAAAGTAACATGTTTGAGAAGATTGTGGAACATCTGATCCTGTCTAAGGAGTTTAAGGAATTTAGAAAAGTAACACGTCTGATCGCGTCGAGTTTAGAAAAATAACACATCTAATCTGTAATTTCATTGATTTTAGAAAAGCAACATATCTGATCTTATATAAAGCGTTTAAGGTTGCCACTCTTGCGAAACTTTTGTCCATTATATTTACCGATCTAACGTGTTGAACATTGTTTATCTTTTATCGAGTTTTTAATTTCTTTTGTTCACCTTGGATATCCATGAGAATGTGAAGCAAATGATACTATTTTTAGGTTTCATTTAGATGACAAATGTGAGCAAATAATCAGGGAAAAACTTGTAACTTTTTTTTTTTTTTGACAACAGGGAAAAACTTGTAACTATAGATACTATTTTGGCACCTATTCTTGAGAAGTGTTTTGGTAGAAAACCTGTCCGGTTAATCTCTTCAATTGTTCTGTTCAGGAAAATTTCAAGACAAATTTTCTTTGTGCTCTCATGAAAGTGGAAAAAATACTCTGAAAGAATTTATAAGCAAGCTCAAGTCTGAAGTTGATGACAATGCAATAGAGGCATAAAGTTCACGTTTTATTGTGGCAGTAAAAGACGTGGATGGTATATGAATAGAGAGCTTGTAGAAAAGGTTGAAGTATGAAAACATCAGTCGTCCGGTAAAAGTCAAGAAGAAAAAGAATGAATTTGTCAAATGTGGTGAAGAGTATGACTTGATGCGTTACCAAATAATATTATTATCCTATGGAAAACATTTCCCCGAGAGTGTAAACAACAATCAGTCTCGCAAGTTGTTTCACATATATTGAAATTTTTTCATCAACATTTTCTCTCTCTCTCTGTTTTAAAAAGAGTGTCCATCAACATTTTTTCATGCATTAAAAAAACTATTAAAATTTCTACTATACTCTTTATTAACACACTAAACAATTATTAATTTTCTTTCATCTGAAATAAAAACAATAGCAAGTTGTTTTCTACTGTGCAAAAACTGTTCATGATCAATGTGACCAAAATTATATTTGAAAAAGCTATTTAATGCAAAACTCAACTCATGAGTAAAATAAAAAAAATGATAGTATGATATATTAAAGACCTCGTAAAAGAACATTTATAATTTTATTCAATCAATTAGATTCTTTATTTGTCTAAATATGATGAGAGGAACCTCATCTCTTCATAAAGAAAATAAATAACTCTCATCGCTGATATGTGTGGGTTTTGCATCATTTCAACATTGTTTTCCCCATTGTTTCTTTCACACTTTGCATCCTTTTGAATCATAATCATGCAATTTGGGTCTATTTTCTCCTTGTCATGCATTTTAGAGTCATAGGTGTGTTTCTTTGCATGCATTGCATTTTTGGTTTTTCAAGGTGTTTTTGGAGCCAATGGAAAA